CAGGGCATGGCTAACTCACAGATTGAACCCTTAAACAACCTCTGGGCTGATCTGAGTCAGGGCATGGCTGATTCACAGATTGAATTAGTATTTAGCGGTTTTGCAAAAACCGGAGAACCCGGAGAAAAAACCTCGAAGCAAGGGAGGGACTTAACAAACTTTACTCACATGTGATGCTGAGTCAAGAAATCAAATTCGAGACCCCAGAAGTGATAGGCGAGTGTAGTAACCCTACGCCACCATTAATTTCCTAAACTTCTCTTGTCATTAGAATGCAGCAAAGGCTGGAAGAAGCTTACTCTCAACAGCGTGCGAGGATGTTACAAGTTCTATGATGACTTGAAAACATGGAGCGAAGCACAACAAAGCTGTTTGGATGATGATGGTAGCTTAGCCAGTATCTTGTCTGATGATGAACAGACAATGGTGTCTCAGGTYAGTACCCCTTGCTAAGCAATAGACTCTTTAACAATGTACTAAGGGTATCTTGTCKGATGATGAACAGACAATGGTGTCTCAGGTCAGTACCCCTTGCTAAGCAAAAGACCCTTTAACAATGTACTAAGGGTATCTTGTCTGGTGATGAACAGACAATGGTGTCTCAGGTCAGTACCCCTTGCTAAGCAAAAGATCCTTTAACAATGTATTAAGGGTATCTTGTCTGATGATGAACAGACAATGGTGTCTCAGGTCAGTACCCCTTGCTAAGCAATAGACTCTTTAACAATGTACTAAGGGTATCTTGTCTGATGATGAACAGACAATGGTGTCTCAGGTCAGTACGCCTTGCTAAGCAATAGACTCTTTAACAATGTACTAAGGGTATCTGAACTTCGATTTGGTTTGTTGGCTTGAAAACATTTACATTCTGATTGTCTTATGTATCTGATACATCAGGTCTACTCTAAACACGACATGTGGATTGGCTACAATGACAAAGATAGCGAGGGAGACTGGGTCTGGACAGATAGAACTACGTCATCCTATACCAACTGGAATGACAAATCACCAAACAATGGTGGCATAAGTTGCGCAATCGTCACACGTACAGGAAAATGGCACGATGAACCATGTCAGTCCACGTACAGTTACATCTGCAAGAAACCAAGTAAGTTTATTTTGTTCTCCGACGTCCGACGAAAAACTAATGGCCGAAACGTCAGTATAATTGAGCAGTTTTCGGTTGAGTATGAAAAGCTCACTGCACGAACACGGCCGTGACACGGCAAGGCATACGCCAGCTCAGTCACATTGCGCGAGAATTTACTCTCCATCCAATCAAATACCCGGAACACAGCATAAACACGGCGTGCACCGGTCATGCCAAGGTCACGGTATTGTCAGACCAATCACATTGTGGGAGAAAAAAACAGCCAATCAAAAATCTTGAAAGCATTACGGTCGCGCCAAAGCACGCATGCGGCACGGACTTTTTCACAGTCATACGAAAACTGCTCTATCAGTTTGGCTAAGTCTCTGATATTTGTTTTTGGTTGTTTGTTTCCAGGCCCCAAAAGTAGGAAGGACTTAGAAAACGGTAAGCTAGTCTGCAACGCACTATTCCCAAGCCAATAGTATTTGATTCTTTTGCATATTAATTTCGTAGAGGCTGAAAAAGGTCTCGGGGAGCAATCCTATACTGAGCAGCMGCTGGGCAGAACATCACATGTAATCGTAGAAAAGAGAACTACTAAGCATGCGCACTCGAAATTACACTTGTAGGATCAGACTGCGTTGCTGGATGAATTTTTTGTTAAGTAATTACTTGATTGTTATGATATCATTGTCATGTTCTTAGATGGAGTTCTCACACAGCAAGTACAAGACTTCATCACCAACAACACTTTGATTCCAGACATTGATACAAGTGTTTCTATATTTGGCAGTTCAGCAGGTAATGTTTAAAAAATGAAATGCCAGTCACGTATCTGTGTGTTATACCTATTTGATATTAGATCGATACCAGGAAACATACCATACCACTAGCACTACCGCCACCACTAGCACTAGCACTAGCACTAGCACTAGCACTAGCACTAGCACTACCGCTACCAAGACAAAATTATAAACACTGGTTATTATTTTGAAATTTAAGATTTAAAGATGCTTTGTTTATCTAAACCTACATTCATCAACTAAAGGCTCGATCCTTAGGATCTCCACTTTTGTTTCGACTTTTCTAATCTGGATATCTTCAGCTTTGAATACTATTAAAACAGAGCAATGATGAAGAGAGGGGGTGAAGTGCGCACCGTCAGATCCGTCAGATACCAGCTACTAACTGAAAGGAACGCTGACGTTAAATAAGGCCTTTACCTTTAACCTTATCTTAAATCAGTCCTCGCTCATATTTATTACGTTTTCCTGTTTCAGTTGCACCAGTGTATTTCTGGACAGCGCAAAAGATTTACCAGAACAAGATCCACGGCTCCAACCCCATCGCTACTCACGGCCACATCAAATCTGTTGACGGTGGTCTTCAGTTGAACGGTGTTGACTCGTGGCTGGATGCAGGGGACTTTTATGGTCAATGTCTTGGTGATCCTGATCTTTGCATTAAAGGATTCTCATTCGCTACTCAGGTACAGATAAATATCATGGATTGAGATGTCTGTTACCTCCACTGGTAGCAAAGATGTGGGCAGCGCATTTTCAAGGAGATTTTCGGCGAARCTTTTTTTTTTTGAAAGAGGCTGTAGTAATAAGGAGAGGAGTATTAGAACCCTGAGAACTCTCGTTTTAAGTAACAGTTACTAATGTTTTCCCATTTCAGTCCACGTATCAAATGGTACTCATCCTAAGTGGCTTCACTTGAAGCATTGCGGTCATGATTTAAGTGACCAAACTAACGAGTGTCAATTTTTTTCTGTATTTCCTTGTTTCAGCTCAACTTCGACGACGATGCCGCCAGCTATAAGGACAAACGTTACGTGCTTGATTCTGCTGGTGACTCACGCGGTGTATCGGTCTACATACAGAACAATACTGTACACTACAAAGTAAGTACTCGACTCAAATCAAGTCCCACATGGGAAGAAGTGAGAATGTGTTCAAAGCCATCAGCGTCACAATCCAAAATTTTGAGTTCGCTGGTCATAGAATGGGGTTAATTATCTACGGTCTAGGGGCCGACTAACCTCTCCCTTAGGCTTCGGCCGAGCTTCCTGATCAGTCTGTAAATCTTCGGATAGCGGTGTCGGGGGCATAGCCGTAACTGCTTTACGCTGCCATACGACGGTTCAGCACTCGATGTCTGGAGGTATGGCAATCGTCCTAAATATCCCTCAATTCCAGATATACCTAATGCTTCGTTCTCTCACAGGTAGCGACGTCCTCCAAGACATGGGACCTATCAACAGAGCTCGTTACTAATGATTGGCAGGATGTTGTATTGACATGGAAGAAAGAAGAAGGGTTGATGCTGTACGTTAATGGCGCCTTCAGAGACTCGCAGAAGGAAGGAACGACAACCAAACCCGTACCGAATAAACAAGCTCGACTAACCATTGGTAGAAAGAGCGGCAATCCTCCTTACAGATACACAAGGTATCAAAGATCTTTTGCAAAATGATGTAATAGTCCCTTTCACAGTTCACTGCGACATCTTGAAAGGTAGCCGTGCCTTTGCATCGAAGCGAAATGAACGGTGAGCTTGCAATGATACTTCACTGTCTCTATCTCGTCTCGCTTCGATGCAAAGGCACGGCTACTTTTCAAGATGGCGCAGGGAACTGTGAAAGAGACTATTCCGGTCTGATGCATGAAATTCTTTGATGTGATTGGCTAATAATCTCACTTTCTTTCATCTGATTGGTTAACTTCTATTGTCTTGACAGGATGTATATTGGTTCTCTGTATGCCTTTACACGCTTCTTGTCTCCTGAAGACATACCATACGTGTTTACCTACGATGACACAGGTAACCCAAACCAAGAAAAATACTTTGAGTAGCAAATTGCATAAAGAAACGTGTTTGTCTTTCCTCGCAACACAATTCGAACAACTCTCTTCGTGGCACAAAAATTCTAATCGAATTAAAGTATTCTATTGTTGTCAGTAGTCGTTCGTATGCTATCTTTGTCTGGTGTGATTTCAAATCAGACTAACTTCGACAAGTTTGTTAAAAAGCCAATCAAAATGGCTATATCAGGAAAGAAACACCTTAAGCTCCCGCATTTTGAACCTCAAATCTCAAATGAATAAGAGTGAATGAGATGCAAGATGAAACTTTTTTCTTGGAAAAAGCCACTCGTTATGTAAATCGTTCTTATGGCTTGTTTCATAGTGTCAGCTCGCTACACCTGGCTCCTCCCAGAGCTCAGAGACGGTAAAATCGAAGGAAGTCCTGAGATCGAAGTCAATGGACCCGTCAAGGCTGTAGACGGAGGTGTGTACGTCGATGGAACGAAAGCATTTCTCAAGGTCGGTAATTTCAAAGACCGTTGCCTTGGTGACCCAACAAAGTGTCCTCATGGTGTCAGCTTGAGTTGTAAGCTCAAACTAAGCAGGGTGAGTACGAACATAGCTTGTGTGAGTGTGAATAATAATGGTACAAGAAAATGAGATTAGAATGGAATTACTGGAACTTGTGTCCCAAATTACAGCCTGCGAAACATACGGTACTGACTTACAGTGCGCACAAGGTACGACGTGCCGTAACATCGTAGTGGCTTCCCATAAGAATGGTTATCGTACGAGTGTGGAGCATACGGTACTTACTTAAGCACGTACACGGTACGACAAGTTGTAACATTGAAATAGCTTTCCACACGAATGGTTTTTGTATGAGTTGCAAACATAGGGAACTAACTTACAGAACTCGATACGACATGCTGTATCATTAAAATGGCTTTCCATAAGCATTGCTATCGTATGAGTGGGACACACGGTACTGACTTACAGCACGTACACGGTACGACATGCCGTAACATTGAAATGGCTTTCAACGCAAATGGTTATCGTGCGAATGTGAAACATACAAAACTGACTTACAGCACGTACACGGTACGATATACTGTAACAACCAAATGGCTTCCCATTGTCTTACGGTAATGCATCCACTGACAACGTGTAGTTATRGTCACGGTAAGATACGGTCACGCACTGTCTGTCCCTAAAGCAAATTTGTGACAGTCACGCTATCTACTGCTTCTTGCCTTGGCTCCCCAATTTTTTTCCCAGACAGTAAATGCATGCTGCAGTTAATTAAGAATAATTTGTAGTAGGCAAAAAAAATCAAATCTTGCGTTTTTCCGCAGGTCGTTCGTTCGTACAAAGATCGTCGTTACATCATGGATTCTGGTGGCCACGTGAAGGGCAACAAGGGCATCGCAGCTTACATCGTTAATAACAATCTATACTTTACACTGGCAATGAGTACATCAGAAGATACACTTAGATGGACAGTCAGGACCTCTATATTCACCGTCAGGTAACRAGCTTTGCTATACTTCACTATCCTTTGCTATCTTGTAGCGTAAAGTAATCTGCTCTTGTCGCACTTAAGAGCCAGTGGCTAACATGCAAACTTGGGGCCCTTATTTCATAATTGCTAAAGGTCTCTCTCTCGCGCTAAGTTCAAATGTCGAATCTAAATTTTTGGGCCTCTATTTCAGATGGCAACGCGTTGTTCTAACATGGAGTCTACAAAAAGGACTTTGGCTTTACATAGATGGCCAATTCCGCGCCTTGACTAAGACACCAAAAACAATACCCCGAGATGTAATCGATGAAAGTTCGGAATTCATCATCGGTCGGAAGAATATCGGCGATGACTTTAAACCAGCCGAATTCTCTATCGGCTCCATCTCGATATTTAAACGATTCTTGGATAAGAAAGCTGTCTCTGCCGTCTTTGGAGAAAAGAGTGAGTTTACCTTTTATTGCTCGTTGTATTGCAGTTGTATTCACTCATGGAGTTGGAATTTAGCTTGTTAGGTTTTGCGGAGGGGGGAAAACCAGACAACCTGGAGAAATCTTGAACAACGGAGATATCTGAATGAAACAATGTGGCCTATGACTTAGCCCAAATGGTACTTGTGTTTTCTGTTTCAGAAATGCCATATCCTGGTCTCATTAGAGAAGTGTGGAAGGAACTCCCCGGTAAAGAGATCAGTAAGCTTAAAGACGATCCCTACTACCCCAACGATCCATCACTCGTCGAAATCATCGAGAATTTCGATGCTCCATTCGATGTTGACAAAGATTTCGGTAGCCGTGTTAAAGGATATTTCGTGGCACCAGAGACTGGCAACTACACCTTCTACCTATCTGGGTCCAAGTCAGCCGAGTTGTGGCTTAGCAAAGGTGAACGTCAACAGAACATGTCGGAGATGATCGCTTTGCACGATCCAACTGGACACAACCAGTGGAACAAGTAAGGACTGAATATCTTCGGGGGTGGGGTGGGGGTACTTTAGTAGATACCAAATATACTAGGATGTCCTGGTGGATACGATATTTTAATAAATTCCACAATGCTTTATTTTCCGTGTTTGACGTCGAATTATTTTGTTTTTCAATTTCATCTAAAACAGATAAATTTCAATAGAATAGATTTGTATAGGAAATCACACGATCTCGATTACAATTCGGAATTCATAGGTACGAGTGAAAGTTTTCAAAATTGGACGAGGCGTTAGGCGAGTTCAATTTGAGAACTTWCAAAACATCACGAGTATCTATAAATTCCAAATTATACGAGAAGATTGTGCGATTTTTTGTTTATAATACACTCAACAAAACTGAGCAACTTAATTGGGACTCTACAGAATACAATTTGGGATTTAATTGTACTCCTCTTGTCCAATCAGAATCGAGTAATTTTGTAATTTTGAATGTATTATAAGACGTCAAACGCCGAAAAAAACAGGCATGGCGGGATTTATTAGTTATACTATTAGTTATACTAACTGTGATTGTACCCATCTGAGATGAAAAAAAAGGCAATGAGATACTCTGGATAAGGCACTCAAAAGAGTTAGGAGAATAAGAAACGGAGATTATACTAATCAATTCACATATTTGTTACCCCTCAGGTTCACCGCTCAGATATCTAAGACAGTGAGTCTAGAAGCCGGCAAGTACTACTACATCACAGCCTTGGAGAAAGGAACCGAGTCAACTGATTCACTTTCTGCTGGAGTCAGACTGCCCAGCGGTCGCTTCATGAGGCCGATCTCCAAGGAAACCTTACAGTGGAGATTACCTGGTGAGTGAGAGTGATTGACAGCCTTATCACGTGGGTGGAAACTGAGTGATGCTCCAAGATTTTGGTTGGTCAGGAGAGTGTAAATCACAAGGAGGTTGATGAACTACAATCATTACAACGACATTTTTATTCGGTGTTGAAGGTCACGTGAATAAAAATCATGTGATCGTGTGAGGTTCGTCTAGTTAGGTTGTCACGTGAGTGAAGATCACGTGACTGGTGGTATCGCTAGGAATATTAGGAATCATATTAGGAAGTCACGTGGATCAAGGTCACGTGAATTTAAGAAAATTAATTTAAGCGCATTTGAACATTTTTATAGATATTTGCGCTATTTAAGTAATGAATTATTATTTATTATTATATTGCTTCTGGTCATTAAGTTAGGTTTTCACGTGGGTGAAGATTACGTGACTAGCTGTTTCGCTAAGAATTAGGAATGTCATGGTCACGTGAATGTAGATAATACGGCTTGGTCATTGAGTTAGGTTGTCACGTGGGTGAAGATTACGTGACAAGCTGTTTCGCTAAGAATT